CGTTAGGGTAGCACAATGAGCTCAGCTTGTTTTCTTTAAAAGATGTAACGCCATACTCTTTCACTATTAAAAATAAATTTCAATATAGTGAAACATTCTGTCAGGCTAATAAAAAGCATATCTTTGACATTTTTTTATCTTTTTCCAAACTCTTTAAACGTTTAAGCAGGCAGCTCATCAATGACATATTGCATAAACGCTTCACTGTTAGAAGTAGTTTTTCATGATGAATCTTTAAAGTGCCAGAATATCTGATAAGTCAAATTTTGATTTTCTTCAGATGAAAAATGCTTAATAGTTGTCTTAGAGTCTTTCTGCACTATGATTTTTATCTGTATTTTATTACGGTAATAATAACATCTAATATACTCTCTCATATCTGTCTTGTTCTTTCTTAAGGTCAAAATTCTATCCAGAGCTAAAAGCAGCAAGAGACTTCTTCTTTTCTTCCTCTCAACATTTTAAGGCAATAAATTACCACCTACAGGCAAATAATACCAAATTAGAAAACCTAAATGTGATCTATATATATATGCCTTAATATAAACTTGGTAATCAGAAAACCAAGTGTTGGTATGTCATTACAACAACTAATTTTCAGTCTTGCAAGTAAATTAGATGCTATTACATCAGGCTATTTAATTGCCTTTCTTGCCAATAATCTGTGAAGAAGAAAAAAATGTTAATTCCTCCTCCTGTCTTCAGGCAGATTTCACTTCTTCATATTTTATTGGATTTGTTCTTTCCATTTTCACCTAGTGGTGAACCTCAGCTGCCTCCTGCAAAGGCACAGATCATTTCTAGGGAGCAGAGGAGCAGCAGGCAACGTGCGATAACGTGCACGGCCCTTTGCAAGGTGCCCTTCCAGGGGTGACGATGGGGATGCAGCACACGCTCCTGCAGCAGCAGGGCAGCGGCAGCCCAACCCCAGGGCTCAGGACAGGCTGACTGCTAAAAATAGCGACTGCTGTGCTCTGATATGGCTCTCACAGCCCAAAGACCAGGACCCGTTAGTGGAAATTTATCACAGAATCACAGCATGGTCGGGGTTGGAAGGGACCTCTGTGGGTCACCCAATCCAACCCCCTG